ATAGTGTACTGTGGGAGAGGAGAATATAGTGTACTGTGGGAGAGGAGAAAATAGTGTACTGTGGGAGAGGAGAAAATAGATGGAATTCCTACAGACCTAGGGCTGGTCTGTGTTCAGGGCACACAGTCTGCAAACAGTTTGTGGAGGCTCTTGATGTCCTGTTAGGAACAAAGAACAGCTGCGGGCAGGGTGGCTGCTTATGAGGCCAAAGCAACCTCAGTGCCAGCCATCACGTTGTCACGTGCTGTCGAGTTGGTTCCAACTCATAGCGACCCTGTCTGGCGTTTCCAAGGAGTGGCTGGTGAGCTTGAACCCTCGATCTTGCAGCTGAAACTGGTCTTGAGGTTGAGTGCTCACCCTGTGGTACCATTCCCGGACTCCAGTCATCTCATTAGGGCTGAGTTACTTATATATTTGACCACATAGAGCAGGTGAATTTTTCAGTTGATAATTTTGTATGGCCCATGAATGATGTAATAAATTTTGGCAGATAAAAGGTTCCCCACCTTGTGTTGGAGTCCTGGTGTGGTGCTGTGAGTTAGTGTGCTGGACTGCAAGGTCGGCGGTTCAAGTTCACCAGCCGCTCCTGGGAAACACTATGGGTTGGAATCTACTCGATGGCACGGAACAGCCACCACCACTCTGTGTTAGACTGCTGCTGGTCTGGTGCGTCCTTGGGTTCTGGAGCTCTGAAGCCGAGCCTGCCTGAATCCAGGCCCCAAAGTGGCACAAGTGCCCCAGCCTCGCAGTGGCTTGGCTGACAACCACGTGACTCTGAACTCTGGAGAACAGAGTATGTGCTGGGGGTTGGATGAGGCTGGGCTACCAGGGGAGCATGGGGAAAAGACGGAACTGAAGCTTTACATCATTTGTGTGAATCTGCTCTGCCAGGCCACCTTCTGGCGTCAAAGCTGCTCACAAAAGTTCAAGATAGTTGCGCTGCATCCGGCCGGCTGTTCTTCAGCCCCCCTCTCTCGCCATGATCCTGCTCAGCTTCTCCTCCCAGCAAGCACTCAATCGACTTCTTGAACCTTTCCTCTGACCTTAGGGTTCTGGGATTTCCTTCTGTGTCTGTTTCATTTGCTCTCTCCTGTCTCTGTTGTAGAGTGTCCATGTAGTGCGTCTACGCAGCCCACCATCTTGCCGGAAGTCTCCGGTATGCCAGTTCCTTGATGGATTTTTAAAAATTTTTTTCTTATGAGTTGGGTAAAGGTTTACAGTGAGTCAGTTTTCCATTCAGCAGTTCATAGACAACGTCACTTACCCCAGTTGGTGTGTTGTTTTAAACAAAGGAGAGCTTAAACCATGTTGGCAGAACCCTGAGGCTGGCTTGACTGCATGTCACCAGATGGTCCCTTTGTTGCTTAGAAGGTTGGGAAATCAGCTCACCCATGTAATGGAACACAGGTAATGCTGGTGCTTAAAAGGTGCGGGAACAGTATCTTTCACGTGTCATGGCACACGGCTGATGTGGGTGCTTAGAAGACTGTATCTTGCACACGTGATGGCGCCTGGCTGGTGGTGGTGAGCAGACACTGTTGGTATCGCAGGAACACCTGATCAAAATGCAGAAGCAGAAGTTGCAGCTACCACAGCAGGCCCCACCGCAAGCCCAGCCTGGAGCTCCGCCGCCCACACCTCCTGTGCAGACTCAGCCTCCACAGCCCCCACAGCAGCAGAGCCCCCAGCTCACCACGGTCACGGCCCCGCGGCCTGGGCCACTGCTCACCAGCACCACTGTGGCCAACCTCCAGGTGGCCCGACTCGTAAGTCCCAGTGTACATGCTTGTCTTCAGAAGCATCGTCTGCATTGTCTTAATTGGACTCTGGGGTCTGCTCACAGTTAACATGAGGGCTTTATCCAGGTAACCAACTTCATGTGAAGTGTCAGATGTGTTCCCATCCATCCAGGGCATTTCAGTAAGGGCACACAGTCACACAGCTTGCTGGGCTTCGGAGGGGCGGTCAGTGGACTAGGCCATGAAGGGAAGTTAGATTAGTGTGGGGAACCCTGAGGGGTCCCAGCAGCACCCAGGATCCATGCCAGCAGTAGGAGTTGGGAGAGTTTGACTGCAAATGGGCCAACGTGGAGGAGCAAAGGGCTAGCGTGGTGGTCATGGGCAGGTGGGCTGACCAGGGCCAGATACTAGAGTGACTCGAGAGGCCTCTGTGCTGAGGAGGACTGAAGCCAGCGGTGTTAGGGCAGGCGCTCTCGGCTGGGCTCTGGCACGGCTGGTGCTGGCTCACAGCCTGAGACTTAGTCCCATTCAGCGCCACCTGAGTGCTCTGTGCATCACTGTACTGGGTGCCGGTGGCCCGTACTCGATCCATGGCTCAGTCATAGCTGGGCTGTGGGGCTGTAGTGGGAGGTGGGCAGCTCGTTCATCTGAATCCTGTGGGGAACACGTCCCCTCAGTGAGCGTATCACCGCACCTGTGTGTGGGACCCCTCTGGGTCCAGCCTCTCCTGAGGAGGTGTGAGGGGCACTGTGCAGTGTCTGCCGTTCTCCGGCCTCACCCGTCACTCTCTCTACAGACCCGCGTGCCCACTTCTCAGATGCAGGCCCAGACGCCCCCGACTGCCCAGGTGGCCCTGGCGAAGCCTCCTGTGGTATCAGTGCCAGCGGCTGTTGTCTCCTCACCAGGGGTGACCACGCTGCCCATGAATGTGGCTGGGATCAGTGTGGCTATCGGGCAGCCGCAGAAAGCAGCAGGTGAGGGGGAGCGCGGACCACTCAGGTGTGCTGGGAAGCTGTGCTGGGTTTTGTCACCTTCCCTGGTGGACCCTGTGCGTAGTCACAGTGTAACCCAAATGTTGCTCCAGGGTTTCTAAGTCCTTCGTCATTTGGCCCATTGGTTTAACCACAGATTTTTCCTAATCACCGTCTCTCTCAGACACAGCTCAGGTGGACGTGGGAATGCCCTCGCCTTTCAGTGCATGGCCGCGTTCTGCTGTGTGTCTGTGAGGAAGGCATGCGGCTGCCCGCATCCTTCCCTGGTTGCAGTCCCGCACCTGGTGGCTGATGTGCCCTTGTGTTTGTAGGGCAGACCGTGGTGGCGCAGCCTGTCCACGTGCAGCAGCTGCTGAAGCTCAAGCAGCAGGCTGTGCAGCAGCAGAAGGTCATCCAGCCACAGGGCGCCCAGGGCCCAGCTGCTGTCCAGCAGAAGGTATGCGGCCCGCACACCCAGCTCAGCTACGCGCGCTAGTAGGCGGTGGTTTAGTGCGGTCAGACTTTAGTGCTGCAAACCCTGTTGTGTGTGCTGGGCACCCCAAGGTCATGTGTGAGTGTCTCCGTGTCTAATGAGCATGTGATGGGTGGTAAGTGGGTGTAAGGCCCAAGGGAGGGAGGAGGCTGGCAGCCCCGCTGCTCCGAGGCCTGAGGCCTGCCCGGGCTGACACTGTGCTGCCATGTCTGGGGTCTTGTGAGAGCTGCTCCTTTCAGGAAAAGAAGGGCGTGAGGGTGAGTGAGGGAGGCAGTTGGCAAGGGAGGGTTAAAAGCAAAGTCTGACCCTTTCTCTCCTGTGGTGACCTCAGCTCTCTGAGTTTAGGGTGCCGTCTGATCTCTCACCCCTGCCCTCCCTCCTGGGATGCTATCTGACCTCTCATCCCTGTGCTCACTCAGATAACTGCGCAGCAGATTGCTGCGCAGGGTCAGCAGCAGAAAGTGACCTACGCCACTCAGCCGGCCCTGAAGACCCAGTTCCTCACGACGCCCATTTCCCAAGCTCCGAAGCTGACAGGTTCGCAGCAAGTGCAGACCCAGATACAAGTAAGCATGTGGGGTGGGTGCTTGCTAATTCCATGCAGGATCAGTAGTGCTGTGGTCACCCCGTGACCATCGCCCAGCTGACTGTGGGTCCCGAGCTTGTCCAGCTCCTCTCCTGGCCTGTGTGCCTCACTGCAGTCACTGTAGGAGGGAGTACATAGGTGTGTATGGTTCTGCCTTGCCCCAGGAGAGTCCTGTCACCTGCCACATGCACTGTGTGTGCTTGTGTTATTTGTTCTCACGAATGGTTTCTCTTCTGCCGTTGGGGTACACTGGGGTGTTCTGAGGGGTTGCTGGTGCCTTATATGTGGTGCTGACTAGCATCCTTGCACTTGTCGGAGTGTGGGGTGTGGGCACCATGGTGCACAGCTGGGCTGTGGAGTGCATCTGGCCTCGACCCTGTGTCACCGGGCCTCAGCACACCTGCAGCTGTGTGTACCTGGGACAGCAGGGCTCCTGTGGGCGGCGCCCGCTTTACTTAGTCCCAGTGTGGTTTCTGCATTCTGGACTTTCGGCTCCATCTCTTCTCAGTGGGCATGTTCATCTCCTCCCGAACTTCATGATGTCTTTTGAGCCCCAGAATTTAAGGTACCTGTAGCAGAGCTGCTCAGTCTTGTTGATTTTGAGTGTCAGTGTTACGGAATCCTGCCTGGGCCAGGCCTTGTGCTTCTGTATCCCTCTCTGAAGCTTTGCCGTCTGAGGCTGTGATCCTCCTGGGCAGGACGTGTTCTCCTATGACACACATGTAGGTGCTCAGTTGGAGTTTTCCCTTGGGACCCCTCTGTTTGTCAGCACTGTTTCCTGGAGTTGGAGTCCTTTTGCCACACAGGTGGCACCTGCTGCACCTGGCCTGTGGTTTCTGCACTTTGGCGCCAGCACTGCCTTTCCTTCCTCTAGCAGATGCCATTCTTTCCCTTCTCGTATAGGCAGTCCGCAGCCAGGTAGCCACCAGTTTGGGTAGCAAAGTTTGCTCTCCCGCTTGTCGTCTGCTGTCCCCAGGCCTCACTGTGCTCCCCTTTGGTTTAGGGTTTCTGTGAGTCCGCCTCCTTTGATTGTTTCTCGTTCCTTCTCTCAGACTTCCTTGCCACCTTTTGGGCCATTTCTCCCTCTCTTTTTTTTTTACCCCCCTCCACTAGTTTCTAAGTGATAACTCTTTCTGTTCCTTCGTGGTTGCCCTGGATTTTCCACACCCTTACATAGCTTCTCAACAAGTCCTGGGGGCCCTTGTCTTCTCATCTTCATGAACAGGGTTGGTCTTGCACACGTCGGCGACTGTCCTTGCTGTTGCCGTCCAGCATGGAACCCCATCCTTTTTCCTGTGAGTTTTTGTCTGAAGTCACATTCACTCTGCTTGACCACTCATCCTCTGGAGTCACCTTCAGTGTCTGAAAACGCCTCTAACCCTAAACAGACATTGATTTTCTTAGTACAACGTGAAGCACCACTCCTTGAATTCTGGCTCCGTGTGCTGGCAATGTTGTCTCCCATGCCTGTAACTCAGAGGAAATCTCTGTGCTCTGTGCCAGTCTAAGATACCTTCCTTGTTTTTCATGGTGTGTAGTCACAGTCTGATGTGTAGAACATAGGACTTGTCAGCCTGTTGAACCTGGACCTCTCTGATCAGTTGTCACTGATTCTGAGATCGTCTCTCCCTCCTGTTCTCGACCACTGAGTCGCTTAACACCGTTTGCATGTTCTATTTCTTCATCTTTCTTGACTGAATTCTGCGTAGTGCCTGTTGTAGATGTAAATGGTAAAAATAAAGCTTGTGTTGTATATGACCACAGATGAGGAATATAACCAGTCTGGTCTTCAAGGTGGAGATATGCCTCATCCGCTACTGCTCCAGGGGGCCGTTTGCAGCCAGTTCTTTGGTGTCGCTTGGCCATTGGTTTTCTGCACAAAGAATCATGTCTTTGTGTGTGAGTACTCTTGGAATGCTACATTTAGATTTTTCTGTTTTGTCAAAGGTTGCAAAACTTTCCCAAGTTGTCCAGCAGCAAACAACTGTGGCCAGCATCCCGCAGGCCGCCACCGCATCCCAGCAGGTAGGCTCCGGGGACATAGCCACCAGGGAGCCCTTGCTCCTGTGCGCATGGGCACTTCACAAAAAATTGTGTAAATAGGCATCCAGCCCATTTTTTATAGTAAACGTATAAAAGAGAACAGTGGACGGAAAGGCCCGAGGCAGAAAGGAAAGAGCCAACAGTCACTGTTATCTCTTGGAGGAGAGAGTTCTCCGTCTGGCCTGTCTCACCCTCAAAAACAACTTGCAAAGGGCCTGAGACATCAGTAGTGGTATGTCATATGACTAAATGAATGGATTTTCACACACACACAATGTCAACGTCCTATTTGATGAGAACTCTTGGTCTTCACCCTAGAAAGTAGAGTTGTAATTAGAGGAGCACTTCATGGTCGAGAGCAGACTCAGCCTTGAAGGGAGCTTGCCGTCCTGAGCATGGTAGACAGGCATCTGGGTGCCCACCCATGTGCTGGAGCCAGGCTCACCATCCATCCAGTCCTCTTAGGTGTGTCCTGCCAGCCTGGACGCTGCCCTGGGCCTTGGGGGATGAAGAAAAGAGGGACATGCTATGGGGGACAGCGATGGTCTTGACAACCACATGGCATCTCTGGCTCTCAGTCTTGTGTGTGGTTACCAGGTGGCCACGGAAAACCAATGCTTTAGTTAGTTTACAGCCACGCTGGTTGTAAAACTTGACAATGACAACAAAATGAGTCCCTCAGTTCCCCCCTTACTTTTCCCTGACGTGTCTGGTTTCAGTCAGAAGCCAGCAACGGCCTAGGCTCTTCATTTTCCATTTGATCCACTTGGCAACCAGAGGTCGCACGCATTCTGGTGTGTCGCTGTTGTTCAGGTTTCATGAAGGCATTCTGGCACTGGAGGATGCTGGGGGAGGGGGTCACTGTGTCAGGTGGTTCACCTTTACGTGTCTTCTCTGACGTCCTGGAGGATGTATCAGGGTTCTAGATCACGTGTCTTCTCCCATGCCCTGGAGGATACTTACAGTCGGTCACTGTGTGTGCGCGCGTGTGCACAGGGGGTGGGGGATGGTGGTGTTTAAGATCACGAGTCTTCTCCCATGCCCCAGATGCTGGCGTTGCAGGGGGTTGCTGTGTTGGGGTTTCTCGATTACATATTTTCTTCTATGCCCTGGAGGATGCTGGTGGGGATGTCGCTGAGTTGGGGGTTGTAGATCACGTGTATTCTCCTATGCCCTGGAGGGTGTTGACAGGGTGTCACTGTGTTGGGGTAGGGGGGAGGTCTTTATGCACCTGTCTTCTTCAGTGCCTCAGAAGATGTTGGATTGCTGTTTCAGGGATGGGGGTCTTCTAGATCACATGTCTTCTTCTATGCTCCAAGGCTTCTGCCAGGGGATCACTGCCTCTCGGGAGGTTGTCACTCACGTGTTGTCTTCAATGCTCCCTGCAGGCTTCTCCACAGACAGTGACACTCACACAGGCAACTGCAGCTGGCCAGCAGGTCCAGATGATCCCCGCAGTGACGGCCACGGCCCAGGTGGTGCAGCAGAAGCTTATTCAGCAGCAGGTGGTGACCACGGCGTCCACCCAGCTTCAGAGTCCTGGGGTCCCAAACCCAGCCCAGGGGCCGGTCAGCTCCGAGAGCCCAAGCCAGCAGCCCAAACTACAAATGCGCGTGCCCGCTGTCAGGTTAAAGACGCCCACCAAGCCTCCATGCCAGTGAGCAGACAGGCACAGGCCCTGGACTCTGGCTGCAGCCTGGACCAGGCCTCTCTGGACAGCTCGCTGTTCTGGAGACACGTCTTTTGCCTCGCAGAGACCCTGTTGCCACAGTGTGACATAAGGTGCCCAGCATTAGAATGGCTGGAATGGACACAGGACCATGCAGTCCTTTTGTTAAAGTGGACCCTCCACCCAAGACTGTGTCCCTGGGCAGTGTCCCTTTTCTGTATTGTGTGACTAAGGGAGAAAGTGGCAATGGTGAATTTCAAAGCCCTTTAAGCCTTTCATTGCTCCTCACTCAGAGAGCTATTCAGAATGCCTGTTTGTGTACAGTGTTTGCACAAGACTGTGGCTGTGTGGAATGTGCAGGAGTTAGTCATAATGCACTTCTGAAAGTTGCCGAGTGTCTGCATAGTACGTTCCTCTTATCTGCCCAAAGGGAGCAGTGGGGTCCTGAGAGGGTTTCGTTCCAAAGAGAGCTGTGGTTGTCCTCTTCTCCCTAAAACCTGCTGCGTGGTCACCGTTGCAGGGAGTATCAGGGACTGATGCCCACCAGAGTACATTCGTGACACGCCCTAGCTGTGTTTGAACTTCATTCCAAAGTGAAGCCCTCATCCAGTGTGGCCGTGCTGACGTGGCTCTGGGACCTTTGTGACACTTGTAGCTCAGCAGGTGTAAGACCCACAGTACCACAATAGTTTTATCATGCTGTCCTGAGACTCTGCCAACCAGACAGTGGATGTGGGTGGTGTCAGGCAGAGAGAGGCGATTGCTGCAGGCTCCCCTTGCTGTCCTAGCCCCAGACCTTGTCTGGAGAGCTGAAATGCATCTTCTAGAAAGGGGCTTCGTTATGAATCTGGTAGTACTAACCACAGAGATGGCCCCAGTGTGCTCGCCTCATAGATATGTAGTGAGTAAAACTAAACACATTGTCAACAGCACGGGCGTTTCCAGGCAAACAGCCTGGCTCCTTCAGGTTTTCCTGGCTGGGTTTCCTACCTGAGTCGGCCTACCTGTGTCTCTGCTAGTGACAGGGGCTCTCCAGGATAGCTGTGGGAAGGTATACCTCAGAAGTGAAAAGGAAGCCCACTGTTTGCTGCTGTCTTTATTTCTTATAAAAAGATAACAAAGCACATAAAGTGAGGACTCGGTTGGTAAGCAATGTCACCTTAATCTTGTCCACCCACCACTCTCCCGAGTCAGTCAGCAGACGTCTGCGGGCAGTGGTGCTACCACATCCCACACAACCACCTGAGAGAAAACATTTGGACTCCTGATGAGAAATTTGGAAAGAAGTAGAAAAGCAAGATTTCAGCATTTTTAATTTATTGAAAATATCAAAACAAATCCCTTCCCTCACGGCAAACCCTGTCTGTCTGGCCCAGTGTGGATGGGTCTTGGGCGTTCCGTGCGTGCGGTTATGGGGTGGGCTCTGTTCTGCTGGCTGCAGAGTCCAGTGCAGGACGACCCTCACCTCCATCTACTTTCACTCACACCCCTGTCCTCTTCTCTGTCCTGCACGTAGGTCGGTGGTCTCCTCTCATACAACGGGACCACTTATCTTAGAATGTACCAGACATGGCTGCTTAAGTCAAAGCCCTCTGCTTCTCTAGGGCACTAGGACAGAAATTGGAAGCTTCTGTAAAAAGCCTCCGAAAGCGAACAGGGCCGGGAGTCTGAATACTGGCAGTGTGAAAAGCCTGCCCCTTGTTAGTGTGAGCAAAAGACTGTCATGTCTGGAATGTTTGTTCGTCAGCAATCTTCCAGTGCAAAATACGGAACAGAAAATCTGTGTACTTAGTCACTTGAGTTAGTACATTTAGATGTCACCACCGAGCTGAGGAGTCTGGGAGATAGTAGAGTTTCTTCCGTAGTTGCCTCAGGCTCATATTTCATCAGTTCTCCATGGTCAAGAACTAAGTTTGAGTTTAGGAGGTTCTTGTCCAGGCCCTCACAGAAGTTGTTAAGGACATTTTGCTTTACAGGCTAATCCGAACTCATACGAAACAATACGTAACGATTCAAAGAAACGGCATATGATCCACACAGCGCCCCAAAGCACTGTCAGTCTCCACTTTGATTGGTTGTGGCGGAAAACAGTTCATGAGTGGTGGCCAAAAAGAGACATTTATGTTCATTACTGTTCGTCTGTTTGAGAATGTTCTGTGGGCAGCAGGTGGTCCTATCCACCACTCATTTCAGGCTTGGGGCCTGGTAGGCAAAGGTTTTTCTTTCTGCAATTTTGTTGTTGCCCTTATTGATGGTAACTCTTGTAACCAGATAGCTGTTGTGTTTTAAAATATAAATGAATGAGACTGAAGTTGTAAATATTTTGTAAACAGAAGCATTTGTATTTGAATAGTAGGCCTTTAAAGGGTACTGGAATCCTACCAAAAAGAGGTAAATAAAGAAAACGACCTTTTGTACTCGCTTTCGTTTTGTTTTTCTTGGAAAACTGTAAGATAAAATAAAATTGCAGGTGTGTGTATTTCATTTTTCTGAAAACAAAAGGCATATGTGCCTCAGACAAGGCTGGTTTTGGTTTTGTAAGATGCGCTCTCTTGCTGCCATCCACTTGATCCTGATGCATGGAGACTATACAGGACGGTGTAGAACCGCTGCTTTATGGTTTCTGAGGATGTTAATTTTTACAAAGGCAGATGGTCCCATCTTTCTCCCTTGGAACTGCTGGTGGGTTTGAACTACTAACCTTGTGGTTAGTAGCCCAGTGCCTAGCACATGACACCACCTAGCACAGGGCCCCTTATATCTTCTATAAAACCAAGAAACGAAATCCACTGCCATCAATTTGGTTCCAACTCGTAGTGACTGTATGTCACATTTCCGAGGCTGTTAACATCTATACGGAAGCAGAAAGCCTGTTTCTTCCTTCCATAGAGCAGCTGGTGGATTTGAACTGCTGACCTTCTGGTTGGCAGTCCCATGGGTAACCCCCCAGGCTCCTTTACATCTCCTATGTTAAGTGCTTTGGAGTCAGTTCCGACTCATAGCGACCCTGTATAGTTTCTGAGGCGCCGCTGGTGAGCTTGAACCGCTGACTTTGCAGTCCAACCGACTTAAGGCATTAACACACAGCACCACACTATAGTCCCTCATAGAAACTACTGGTGTGGCGCTGTGGGTTAATGAGCTGGAGCGCAAGGTCGGTTTGAACCAACTAAGGTCGGTGGTTTAAGCTCACCAGCCACTCCTCAGAAACCTTATACAGGGTCGCTATGAGTCAGAACTGACTCCACGGCACTTAACAAAAACATGGCAGTACTGGTGTCTTGGCCTTAAGCTATAGATAAGTACTGGGCCACAGGGCTGGTTTGAACCTCACGGTCAGTGGTTCAAACTCCCCAGCTGATCTCTGAAACCCTCTACAGGCTCTCTATGAGTTGGAACTGAAACTCGATGGCACCTAAAAACACCACCAAGCCACTACTGGGGTATCACATAAGTAGATCTCATTGGTCCTGCTTCTAGTGAATTATTTCATTGTTTGGTAGAATAACCCTAATAATTTTCTGTTGATTTTGCCTCAGTGAAGAAAAAAACCTTGTTGAAGACATCTAGTTCAGTGCTTACTTCTAGGGCTTTGAATGCTTAATTCTGGTACCACCACCTGCTAGTAATTTACATTTCTACCCCAGATACAAGGATTGGCGATGGTTCTGTGCTGTTGAGTTAGTTCCAACTCATAGGGATTCTATACAGGGTTTCTGAGGCTGTAAATCTGTATGGGAGCAGAAAGTCTCATCTTTCACCAAAGGAGTGGCTGATGGAATTGAACTGCTGACCTTGCAGTTGGCAGGCTAGCTGTAATCCACAATACCAGGCCTCCCCAATAAATATAATAGGAATCGCCATTTTAACAAGATTCCCAGGTGATTCTTATGTATACATTTGAGTTATGGTGTTGGAGGAGAATATTTTAAGTGCCATGGGCTGCCAAAACAATCAACAGATCTGTGTTGGAAGAAGTGCAGCTAGAGTGCTCCCTGGAGGCCAAGATGGCCAAACTTCGTGTCTCATACTTTGGACATACTGTCAGGAGGGACCAGTCGCTGGAGAAGGATACCATGTTTGCTAAGGTGGAGGGTCAGAGAAAAAGAGGAAGAGCCCCAAAGAGATGGAGAGGCCAAGTGGCAGCATCGATGGACTCAAGGTGTTAACAGTAGTGAGGTTGGCCCAGGATCACGCAGTGTTTCTGTTGTGCATAATAAGGTCGCTCTGGGTCGGTACTGACTTGATGGCACCTACCAACAACAACAATGTGGAAGGCGGCACTGCGAGTTAATGCATTGGGCTGCAAGTTCAGAGGTTCAAGCTTACCAGCTGATCCCTGGAAATGCTATGAGTTGGAAAGGACTGGCAGCATTTAACAACAATGTGGAAGGTGTACGTGGTGTGGCCTTGTAGGATAACCACCAGACTGCTAACCACAATGTCAGAGGTTCAAACCCACCAGCCACTCATAAACCCTATACGGGTTGGTACCAGTCAGAATTGATTTGACAGCACTTCACAGCGACAACAATGTGGGAGGGGAGATTTTCCTTGCTGCCTTATAAGCCGATCTCACATACTGCCATGGAGTTGATTTGACTCAGCGACCCAGAGCAGAGAACGGCTCTCTGGAGTTCCACAGACTGAATCTTTATGGGAGCAGATGGCTTCCTAGTTCTTCAGGGCAGCAATCGTGGGCTCGAACCATTGGCCTTTCGGTTTGTAACCCGACGCCTAACCCACAGTGCCACCAGTCTCCTTAGATGTGTTTATTTCATGTTTCTAAACAAAAACAAAAAAAGGAACACGCCTCATGAGTAGGGTGGCAGAACTGAAATGCGCAGGCCACACAAATCACGTTTGGTGCAGGGTCAGGGGCGCGGGGCGGCCTGTGCCATCTGCCCGCTCTGCCCGGCGGATGTGAAGGTGATGGGCACCGGCTACAGGCGCTCACCGCATAGCGCTTATCCAGGTGACCCGACGACCATC